TGATATGCAAATGTGCGTTTTCTATTTCGGGATTAATGATAGTGAACAACTTGTCGCTATCACAGTCTCGAAAGGTTACTTTTATCACATCACATGTTCATAGCAATGTTTACATTGTTTATGCGATATAGTTCAATCTCGGGGAATAACACACATTTGCATATTAAATCGAAATACACTCGTTCAACAAAAAAAGTTGTAAAGTGGAGAAAATTCGGATCGCACATAAACCATCACGAAATTTTTCTTTAGAATTTCCCAAAATTTTTCTCAGAATTTTCACATTATCACCAACACACGTAGTTGACCACGTGAATATTTCCCCACAGCCCCTACCCTAGTGTTGCAGCATATGTTCGTTTTCCTCAACTGAGCTCAGAAATTTCGTCAATTATTATGAAAGAACATATACGAACTAGGGTACAGAAGTGTACAGAAACTTATGAGAATTTCCTAAAAAAGGTCTTGTCCCGTTTTTTTTCCTAAAAAAGGTCGTTCCTAATTTACTATTTAAAAATTTTACCCAAATTTTCATAATGTCTTCACCATGTGCGTATTTTCCCACACCCCTTACCCCCAACAGTCGCTGTAGACTTTTCGCAGCATCACAATTCCTGTGGTCGGCTCTCAGCATAAACGCGCACGCCCCAGCAGCAGCATCAACGTTCACCGCGGAATCAACAGCATCACCAACCGCTGAGAGCTGTGCTTGGGACCATCTCAACGAAGGTCCAATCGGCGAGTTTGTATCTGACCCTCATGAAGTGAGTACGGCGACTTTAAAAACTCAAAATCGTGTTATTTCAAAACACCATTGAAGTAGTCTCAATTCTACATTTTAGATTCTTGCGATGCCCGCCTGAGCTTCAAGACGATTATTAGAGTTTCACCCATTTAACGTGAAGTGGCGTAATACTCTATCTATGTTTCCGAGAAATACGTTTTACACTAGTGTTTTCATATCACTAGGGTGAAACTCCATTGTAGCGATCAGCAGTTAACAACTACTTATTATCGACTCTCGTTAAGTTGTCTGATACCAACACATTCGCAAACACGAGAGATGCTACGGGAAGTTATAAACATCATCAGTAAGTTGTCATTTACGGTGAAGTTTCACCCTAGTGATATGAAAAACAATACTACTGCATATCACCACGAATGTCACTTTTTTCACAGAGTATTACGCCACTTCACGTAAAACGCGTGGAACTCCACTGAGCAAAAATTTGATATGCAAATGTGTAAAATGTGCGTAATTTTGCGGGATGGATATTAATCTATCTGAAACTATATCGCATAAACAATGTTAACATTGCTATGAACATGTGATGTGATAAAAGTAACCTTTCGAGACTGTGATAGCGACAAGTTGTTCACTATCATTAATCCCGGAATAGAAAACGACGCACATTCTCCACATTTGCATATCAAATTGGCACGCACTGTACAGCTAGATGGTATCTATTGAAGTTTCACCCGTTTCACGTGAAGTGGCGTAATACTCTGTATATAAAAATCCAATACTCGCGCTATACAGTGGTCGCGAAATCTGTTTTTCACATCACGGGGAAAACTCCATCAACAAAGCCCATTCCTCACTTACTCATATCCTCTCGGTTGAGTCCACTGAGTAGTTCAATTCGCCCACCAGGAAGAGGTAATATGAATTCCGGGAGATCCTCGATAGCGAACTGATTTAACGAGAGATACACAAAAGAAGTACCTGAACGATGCCACTGGAGTTTCACAACCCGTTTTACGTGAAGTGGCGTAAAACTCGGTGAAAAACGCGATATTCGCGGTGATATGCAATAGTCGTGAAATATGTTTTTCACTGGTGTT